AGGAGAGGACCCATGCAGTGGGGACCCCGGCTTGGGGTGGTGATGGAAGCTAATAGCCAGTGGGTGCAGCAAGAGAGGGTCATTCTTGTCACCCCAACCAGTGGGGTCAGGAGGAGATACTGCAGAGACAAACTGAGCCACCAGGCCTCTCCTCTCTGGAGAAGCAGGGAACTAGGTAACAGGCCCCAGCTGGAGCCTCACCTAGCCCTTCCCCAGAGACACAAGGGTCATCCCAGCATAGCTGAGGCTGGGACTTGTGCAGCCAGTGGCATTCTCTAGAACAGTGCTGTTTGACAGAAGGAAATGCGCTGTGTGTGGCCAGCGCAGTAGCCATGAGCCACATATGGCGACCGAGTGAGCCCTTGAAGTGTGGCTAGTGCAGCTGAGTTAGATGGAGCAGGGATCCCTGAGGGGCCTGCTGGGCTCCCCACAAGGATGGAAATAAAGGAAAATCTTGAGCTCCTTCCAGGGAAATTCCAAGCCCCTACCTAGCCCTGAGAAGTAAACAAGCAACTTGATAAGCAAGAAGGTAATCGTAGCCTAAAACAACAGCCAAGGAAGTTAGGGTCAGATGTTTGTTCCTCTATAGAAACCAAAGACAACATCTGAGTATAAGTTTGAGTTATTTTGCAGAAACCTGGACCCCTCCCAAAAAGGATCCGCTGAAGACTGAACGCTTTGCTGTAAATTTCTTCCTGAAGGGCTTAGAAAAACTCACACCCACCAGCCCAAGTTAACATTCAATTTCTGCTGACCCCTAATTTTTAAACAAATCTTTACTTTAACCAACTGCAAATAAGAAAACTGACTCTCCCTACTACCTAAGCCCCAGCTGCAAGATATCCCACCCTTTTAGGCCAAGACCAATGTGTAACTTCCATCTTCCTGAAATTTACCCCGGCCTTAAAAAGCCTTGCCTGCAAACCGTCGGGGAGGTCAGGGTTTAAGCCTTAGTGGTCTGGTCCTCTTTGCTGGGTGCCCTGCAAATATACACTTTCTTTTCTACTGCTGCAAAAATCTCAGAATGGATATCTGGTCTTACTGTGCCAGGTGAGCAGACTCCAGTTTAGTCCTAGCACATGAGGGATGAATTAACTTTGTGATTTTAGTTGACTTAAACAGCCACACGTGGTTACTGTATTGGATAGCACAGGCCTAGAGCTTAGAGAAAACCAACCAAAGAATGCCAGCTGGGTCCCAGGCAGAAGAGGGTAGAATGGGCTACCTCAGCTATTCTAACCCAGTGAAAAGGCACCAGGTGCCACGTGCAGTGGTTCACACCTGTAATCTCAGCACTTTGAGAGTCCAAGGCAGGTGGATCCTTTGAGGTCAGGAGTTCAAGACCAGCCTGGCCAACATGGTGAGAGCTCCCCACCGCTTCCACCCCACAAATTTCTACAAAAAATGCAAAAAATAGCCGGGCATAGTGGTGGGTGCCTGTAGTCCTAGCTACTCAGGAGGCCGAGGCATGAGAATCACTTGAACGCAGGAGGTGGTGGTCTTGGTGAGCTATTACACCACCGCACTCCAGCCTGGGCGACAGAGAGACTCTGTCTCAAAAAAAAAAAAAAAAGCACCAGGAAGGAATGGGGCAAGAAAAGATGCCAAAATGCATCCAGCCACACGAAAATTCGCTCACTCAGTGGGGTGCGGTGATTTATGCTTGTAATCCTGTAATCCCAGCACTTTGAGAGGCCCAGGTGGGCAGCTCACCTGAGGTCAGGAGTTTGAGACCATCCTAACCAACATGGTGAAATGAAAAATACAAAAATTAGCTGGGCATGATGGCACATGCCTGTGATCCCAGCTACTTGGGAAGCTAAGACAGGAGAATCACTAGAACCCAGGAGGCAGAAGTTGCAGTGAGCCGAGAAAACGCCACTGCACTCCAGCCTGGATGACACAGGGAGATAATGTCTCAAAAAAGGCCAGGCATGGTGGCTCATGCCTATAACCCCAGCACTTTGGGAGGCCAAGACAGGTGGATCACTTGAGACCAGGAGTTTGAGACCAGCCTGGCCAACGTGGCGAAAACCCATCTCAACTAAAAATACAAAAAATTAGCTGGGTGTGATGACAAGCACCTGTAATCCCAGCTACTTAAGAGGCTGAGGCAGGAGAATTGCTTGAACTCAGGAGATGGAGGTTGCAGTTAGCTGAGGTCACAGCATTGTACTCCAGCCTGGGGGTGAGAGTGAGAAACTATATAATTTGAAAAAAGAAAAAAAAAAAAAAAAAAGAAAATACGCTCACTCAAGCACCCAGTCAACGTCAAACTGGGAATAGCACACCATTTCCAGCAATCTGTTTTTCTAGAACCAAGGAATAATATATTACAAGAACAGACACAAATATCCCGCCATTCTCTTCATTATACTTTGGGATCTGCTAAGAAACGTGTTTCAGCAAAAGCTACTTCTTAGAGGAAGCAGATTCAGAACAGATCAAAGTCATGAGCAGGGGATTGTGAAGTATTTAAAAAAAAAAGATGGAAGCTAAGCTATGAAGATGCAAAGCTGTAAGGATGTACTTTGGGGACTGGGAGGAAAGGGAAGGAGGGGTGAGGGATAAAAGAACACACACTGGGCGCAGTGAACACTGCTCTGATGATGGGTGCACCAGAATCTCAGAAATCACCACGAAAGAACTTATCTGTGTAACAAAACGTCACCTGTTCTCCAAAAACCTATGGAAATTAAAAAAGGAAAGGGTCTTAACGAAAGAGAGGAAAGGGGTAAGGGTGGAAAAAGAGGCCTTGTTTGAAGCTATAATTTTATTTTTAATTAATGAAAATCCTCCTCCTCAGCAGAGTGCGATGGCTGTAGTCTCAGAGGCTCAGGAGGCTGAAGTGGGAAGATCCTTTGAGTCTATGAGTTTGAGCCTGCCGTAAGCTATGATTGTGTCACTGCACTCCAGCCTGGGTTACAGGGCGAGACCCCATCTCCACAAAATAGTAATAAAACTGGCCAGGCTCACACTTGTAATCCCAGCACTTTAGGAGGTCAAGGTGGGTGGAGCTTAAGCCCAGGAGTTTGAGGCCAGCCTGGGCAACAAGGTCAAACGCCATCTCTACAAGAAAATACAAAAAATTAGCTGGTTGCAGCGATGTGTACCTGTGGTTCCAGCTACTTGGAAGGCTGAGTGGGGAGGACGGGGTTGACGTGGACAGGAGGCAGGGAAATGCTAGGCGGAAAAGGACAAGTTCCCTGGACAGAACCACGCCCTCCAGCCTGGGACCGTTGCCCGAAGTGTTCTCACTTTGTCTCTTTTCCAGCTCGAATGTTGCTTTCTGGCCTGCCCCACCCCCCATCTTTTACCCACCAAAGCCCCAGACTCCACTGGCAGAGGGGTGGCACAGTGGTGGGGTGGAGCAGCAGAGGAGAGAAGAGAAGCAGTAGCCAGCTTACCAGAGAGACCCCCCCACCCAGGCGGCGCTGAGGCGTTAAGCAGATACCCAGATAGAACAGTAAAGTGGGACTATCCAGGTTGTGGGGGGCGGCCAGCAGCCTTCCGAGCTGAGAGCCTCAGAGGCTGACAGCATTCTGGGCTGGGGGCCTTGAGCAGACGCTGACCCATGTATTTCTTCTCTCAGTACAGGTGATTATTGTTAACAAACAGGTGTTCCGTATTTTCTCATGAAACCAAAAATAAAGTAGGTAGGCAGCTGGTGCCTGCTTACCACTGATACTACAAAGTATTCTCCACGAGGGAGCCACGGGGGCAGGGTCACATAGCCTGTGCTTAAAAAAGTGTTTTAACAGGTATATGAAATACGTATACTGTCTTGCTACGTTAGAATGCCCCAAGTAGTTTTCCACTTGGGGGGGAGTCTTCTTAGCAAACAATATATTTTACTTTACACTCAGCATTTCTCAACACAGGTGTTGGAAAGAAGGAGTTTGACTTCAGAGGGATGGCTTGACCGTGAGACTTCGGAGAAGAGTTCCACCAGGGACAGACAAACTCCAGGGGAAGATCACCTTCCCACTCCATTCCTGTTCCAGCTCTCCATCCTGCTGAGAGCCACTTACACTGCTCAATAAAATCCTCCAGATTCACCACTCTTCAATTTATTTGTGTGACCTGAATCTTCCTGGATGCTGCTGGACAAGAACTTGGGTACCAAGAGGGCAGGTGCAAAAGGCTGTATATCATCTATGGAGAAATGCCTAGTCAAACTTGAAAAATGTCTATCTACTGTGCTGGGTGTGGTGGCTCATGTCTGTAATCCCAGAACTTTGGGAGGCAGAGGTGGGTGGATCACTTGAGGTCAGGAGTTCGAGATCAGCCTGACCAACATGGTGAAACCCTGTCTCTACTAAAAATACAAAAATTAGAATTCGCCTCCTGCCCCCCACCAAGCATCCATGGTGACAATGCACCCACTTGATAACTGATCACTGGCGTCACTTTTACCTCCCTCCCTCCATGAGTGCAAACCTCCAGTTAACACAGTTGAGTCAGCCCAGAGTCCACAGTGTCCCCAGGGCCTGCAGTGCCTGGTGCTGGGGAGATACTCAATAAACATCCAAAAGCAGGCTAGGCCCAGTGGCTCACACCTGTGACCTCAGCACTTTGAGAGGCTTGAGCCCAGGAGTTCAAGATCAGCCTGGGCAACATAGCAAGACCCCGTCTCTGCTTTTAAAAAATTAACATCAATGAATGAATGAAGAAACAAACTTTGGGCAACCCACTGCCCTTCCTTGGGTGACTTGTGTTTTTTTCAGTTTTGTAAAGAAGTGACAGTGTTAAGAATTGGAAATGAGGGCTGGGCATGGTGGCTCACACCTGTAATCCCAGCACTTTGGGAGGCTGAGGCAGGCAGATCACTTGAGGTGAGGAGTTTGAGACCAGCCTGGCCAACATGGTGAAACTCCATCTCTACTAAAAATACAAAAATCAGCCAGATGTCGTGGTACATGTCTGTAGTCCCAGCTACTCGGGAGGCTGCGGCAGGAGGGAGAATCACTTGAACCCAGGAGGTGGAGGTTGCAGTGAGCTGAGATCATGCCACTGCACTCCAGCCTGGGCAACAGACACTCTGTCTCAAAAAAAAAAAGAAGAATTAGAAATGGGGTTGCTGAGGACATGTGCTCCTGCTGAGCTTCCAGTGTGCCCTCCCACCCTGGCTTGGTAGGAGATTCTGCTCTCACCTCTGCAGGCCACCCCTGTGCTCACTGCAATTCTGTCACTGGTGCCTGCACCTGACCCCATTTCTGTTTGCCATCCCCCGGGCAGCCGGTATTTGTGATCACAGCCCTGTGATCAGAGCCTTGGAAACCCTTGTACAGGGGGCAGAGCAGTCCTTGCTACCCGCAAGGAAACCAGACAAGGCTGTGCTGACGGTGGAAAATTGACTGTGGGTAGTTACATGGGCAAGAATCAGAGTTCAAGTCTAGGAACCCCTGGTTTTTAGGCGGAGGACGTCAAGGCTGAAGTGAGGCACTATAATCCCCCATCATGACAAGGTGGGCCTTGTGACATTTAGCACAGGGTCCTCCCAACTCCAGTCAGTCACAGCCTGCCTTGGAAGCCCAGGTGCCTCTGGCCCTCCAGATATCACTGCATCTGGGGAAGCAGCAGACAGGGTGGCCATGCAGTGCAACAGGGTCGGGGGATGCCTGTCACATCTCAGATGCAGAGGCAGCCCCTGGAGATGGGGATGTTCTGTGACTCTTGCCCGACAGCCCAGGCCATCTCCATGGAGCCAGCACAGCCATTTTTTTTCTTGCCGACCTGCTCAAACACCCGGTTGGAACAGGGATGCCTCGTGGCACTGGCTTTAGGAGTTTAAATGGTTTGCTGTTTCTAGCAGCAAAGCACCTGTTCAGGTGCTACGTATATGCATCCATGAATGGTGCAGCTGCCGGAAGAATCAAAGCTAAATGTTGGCAGGATCACAGCAGGTGTAGAGAGAGGGGAGAGCACTGGGAATTCCCGGAGACTCAGTCGTTACCCACTCAACTGAAAGGCTGTGCGTGGCTTTTCCTCTGATGGTTACCTCTGCCAGGGCCCACCTCTCCATTTCCAGTTTTCTTTCATTTATTTGTTTGTTTATTTTGAGACAGAATCTGGCTCTGTCGCCAGGCTGGAATACAGTGGCAGCCTCACTGCAACCTCCGCCTCCCAGGTTCAAGCGATTCTCTCACTTCAACCTCCTGAGTAGCTGGGATTACAGATGCACACCACCATGCCTGGCTAATGTTTGTATTTTTAGTAGAGACAGGTTTTGCCATGTTGGCCAGGCTGTTCTCGAACTCCTGACCTCAGATGATCTGCCCACCTCAGCCTCCCAAAGTGCTGGGATTATAGGTGTGAGCTGCCGCGCCCAGCCCATTTCCAATTTTCCATCCAGTGGTGGCAGAACAAACTTGGATGGGCCCCAATGTTCTGCTGGAACCAGGACCCTCACCCTTGCCCTATCTCATTACCCAGCCGCCTCCAGCTGGGCCTGCCCACCCTGCTGACCTCCTACGTGCAGAGAACGGGGCTTCTCTGCTTTTCAGGCCTAAAGCAGTGATGCCCACAGGGCCTGGGCCACACACACCCCCTGAAGCCGGAACTCCAGGCATGGGCGAGTCCTGGGTGGCTGGACCTTGTCGGGATGGATGGAAGGGCAGTTTCTGCAGGCAGGACCCATCTTCAGTGGACTGGATCATCTTCCGTGTCTCATTCTCACCCCCATTCTCTGGGAACAGGGAAAGAGGTTTCTGTCTGAATCTTCAGCATGGTCTATGCCCTGGTGGCCTCTTACTGGTTGGCCACTGTGGTAGGTGGGTCCACAATGAGCTGAGATGGTGACGTGGGACAGGTGACTCTTTGCAGCCACCTTCAGCACCACCCTGCCTGGGACTACAGGGATTGGGGATGGGAGCTAAGGGGTTGGAGCACACAGGCTGAGGTGGCTAGGGTCTTCACTGTGTTGGGAGGGACTCGTTGCCTTGAGACTCTGCAGTGTCTCCTCAGAGGCCTTGTCGGGAAGCAGCACCTCCACAGTATAGCTGAGCTTCTTGGCGTGCATCCGGCTGTAGGTGTTGTCAAAGCGCAGGACATCTGCAGTGACAGAGAGGAGATCAGGGAGCACGAACCCCGTGTATCTGCAGGAAGAGAGAGCCCTGCATGGCTGCATCCCTGGAACCCTTGGGAATGAGCTGTCCAGGATGGTGGGTGGAGCCTGAGAGCCAGCCTGTGTCCCTCCCTAAGCCTGTTGCTCACTGCCATCCCATGGTGGCTTGCGCTACATAAAGGACTCATGACAGTTACCAGCCCACAGAATAGCACACAACCAGGAAGCCTGCAGCCTGGGAACAGGATCTTGGGCTCCACCTGCAGGGAGGAGCTGCAGCCCACGGACATGCTATGCCCATACTGCGTCCTGGCCTGGTCGCACAGGTAGTAGCTCTAGGGCCTCTCCATGCACTATGCATTCCATCACACGTTACGGTGCCCTGAATCCTCAAAGCAGGCCCATGAGGAAGGCAATGCCATCCTCATTTTACGGATGAGAAAACTGAGGCTTAGAGAAGTGATAGGATCTTTCAGCGGTCACAGAACAAGGCAGGGGAGGTACTGGGATTCCCTTATCCCGATGCCCTAACCCAGGGAGGAGCCCTGCCACCCCAGGAGGAAAGGGCTGGACTACGTAAGTCACTTTATCATCTTGCAGAAGGCATGTCCTTCAATGCCAAGGTCCAACATGAACTGATGAGTCGTGCAGACTTCTCTGTCTCTACTCTCCTAAGGCTCCCTTTCCACAAAGTGAAACAAGATCATGTGTTGACTTAAGCATAAGCAACACCCTTCTCCTCCATAGGAAATCAACCTTGGGCTCCCCTGCTTCTAGCTCTGTTCCCAATAGACGTGGAAGGGCAGTGGTGTCTCTCGGCAAGCTGCTTCCGGTGAAGCTGACTGAGCTGCATCTGGCCTGGGAGGCCTGAGAGTGAAGGATAAACACCTGGAGGAAGCCACCTCTTTGGGATTCCCGGAGTGGGGTGGTTCATGCAACTGGGTGGTACCCTTGCCAAGACCCCTGACTCTAAGTCCGTGGCCTCTTACTTACCTGTCTCTTAGCCCAATGAGCCTGGTATAGGGTCTTCTCAGCTGAGCCCAAGGCCCCAGGTTCTGAACACCAGCTCTTCCCCCACAATGAGTCTGCCCTCATACCCACACGTAAGGGCCACTCATCCCATCCGTGGCCCTGAAGCCAGCTCCCCTGAAGCTTACAGACGTCCCCACACCCCTCCCGAGAGCTGGAAAGAGAGGGCAAGCAGAGGGTAGATGGCAAGGAAAATAATTCCAGTAAACCCTGGAGCTCTTACAGACGCCAGCCTTGAGGCAGGTGAGGCTCCCATCCTCGGGCACCAGGTGGGCGTTGTAGCGCTGGCTGGGCAGCACCTCTGTCATCTCCCGAGCCCTTTGCCGCTCCCCCATTTTGGTCTTCAGGAAAACTCCAAAGCCGATGTCCCCGCCATCCGATGTGAACTGCCACCTGCAGTGGACAGAGCCCCATTGGCGACCCCCTGCCTGGGCTCTGGCACCTACCCAGCTGTGCCCAGGTGTGGGGTGGCTGCCATCCCTACCTGAGCACACAGCCTGGGAACAGGATCTCATTCTCCACCTGCAAGGAGGAGCCTCGACCCACGGACTCCGTGTGCTCGTACTGCAGCCTCACCTGGTTGCACAGGTAGTAGCTCTTGGGCACCTCACCCCCGTAGTTGATCTGTGGGTGAGGGGCGTGAGTGGGCACTAGATCACAGCTTCTCCCCTCCCTCCCCATCCTCTGGGCACCCTGTACCTTGGTCAGGCACTTGGGGTTGCCATCGGGGTCAGTCATGGTCCCCCCAAACTCCGCAGGCAGCTGGTCGGGGCTGATGAATTTCGTCAGCTCCTGCTTCCAGTTGTCTGCATGGGAGCAAGAGGGACTCCAAGACTCGACAGAGGGCAGAAGGGGCTGAGCCTGGCGAGGGGACCTGATATGTCCTGGGCATGCTCCCCCGGGCGCCTACTCCTAAGAGCACCCAAGACCTTTACTGGCTCCCAGCCCGTGGTCTAGGACCCATGTGTGTAGAAGCTGACCAGGGTCAGGCCAGGGCCAGTTCCCAAGTAGAGGGCAAGCCAGGGAGAAACAGGGTCTTTAGTGTCAACCTCTGCTTCCCAGGCACATGGACACAACCAGAGACCGAATCACTCACCTCCCAGAATTACAATCTTCCTGCGTGTTTCCTCACTCATGAACGACTTGACCAAGTTGAAGGCCACGGGGAACAGTTTGGGGGCTGAAACACATGCAAATCTCCTGAGAAGCTGGAGCAGAGAGGATGTGGGGATACAGAGCCACAGTCAGGAGCATGTGCTGGGCTGGAGCTGGACAGATACGGACTCTGCCGCTGTCTGCGGTGTGACCTTCAGCACCCTCTCTAAGTCTCAGTGCAGTTAACTGGAAAAGGAAGGTGAAATAACGTATATATAACACCTGGCACAGTTCCTGGCTTTCAATAAATGGTTGTCTCGGGCCAGGTGCGGTGGCTCATACCTGTAATCCTAGCACTCTGGGAGGCTGAGGCAGGCAGATCACTTGAGGCCAGGAGTTCAAGACCAGCCTGGCCAACATGGTGAAACCACGTCTCTATGAGAAATACAAAAATTAGCTGGGCATAGTGGTGCATGCCTGTAATTCCAGCTATTCGGGTGGTGGTGGCATGAGAATTGCTTGAATCTGGGAGGTGGAGGTTGCAGTGAGCCAAGATTGCACCACTGCACTGCAGCCTGGGTGACAGACTGAGATTCTGTCTCTAATAAATAAATAAAAATCGGAAAAAAAAGGTTGTCTCCCCAGCCCAGTTGTAAGGAGTTGAGCACAACTAGGTTTAGCAATGCTGATTCCCCAATAGTATCTCTTCCTTTCCACACTCCAGGCTGTCTGAAATCTTCTCGGGTGTGACATTTACATTAGACCTACTGTCCGCCCTGAATTGCTCATACTCAACTGAGCACTATGTGGGCCAAGCTCTGTGTTCCGTCTTCACACACTGTTTGGTTTAACCTCATAGTTCTCTTATGGGGAGGGAGCCACTCTATCCCCATTTTACAGAATGGGAAAACTGAGGCTCAGTGAGGTTAGGTAGACTTCAATAAAATCATAGAGCTAGTTAGATTTGAACCAGATCCTCTGACTCTGGAGCACAAGACATCACCAGTGCAGCCAGAGACCATTCCCACTCAAAGTGTGTCCATCCGCTAGCGGAGTCCATGGACTGTTCTGTTCCCAGTCCACACCGACATAAGTAACAGTAAACATTTAGAAACTTATAACTTATTTAGACTGGGCACAGTGGCTCACGCCTGTAATCCCAGCACTTTGGGAGGCTGAGGTGGGCAGATCACAAGGTCAGGAGTTCGAGACCAGCCTGCCAACATGGTGAAACCCGTCTCTACTAAAAATACAAAAATTAGCTGGGTGTGGTGGTGCATGCCTGTAATCCCAGCTACTCAGGAGGCTGAGGCAGGAGAATCACTTGAACCCAGGAGGTGGAGGTTGCAGTGAGCCAGAATCTCATCACTGCACTACAGCCTGGGCAACAGAACAAGACTGTCTCAAACAAACAAACTAAAAAGAAACTTATAACTTATTTGACATTGCTGCAACATACCAGTGCATGATTTTGTATATTACAAAATATCAGTCTGTGAAGGACTGGAACTAAAAAATAAAACCAGAGGCCGGGCGTGGTGGCTCATGCCTATAATCCCAGTACTTCGGGAGGCCAAGGCGAGTGGATCATTTGAGATCAGGAGTTTGAAACCAGCCTGGCCAACATAGGGAAACCCCACCTTTACTAAAAATACAAAAATCAGCCGGGCGTGGTGGCGGGCACCTGTAATCCCAGCTACTCGGGAGGCTGAGGCAGGAGAATCACTTGAACCCTAGAGGTGGAGGTTGCAGTTAGCGAGATCGCACCACCGCACTCCAGCCCGGGCAACAGAGGGAGACTCCATCTAAAATAAATAAAAAAATAAAAGTGAAACCAGAAGCCAACCACACAAAACCTGGTTCTTCACAAACGATGGCTGAAGAAGCCTTTAACTCCACGGCTTACCTACTGCACCCCCCATTCCTGCTTCTCCCTCCCCAGGAGGTCATCCCGGTAATGAGCTTACCTCGAATAACAATTAAATTCTTCAGAGTCTCAGGATAATTTGCTTCCAGGATGCTAAAAAACTGTGGAGTCAAGAGGAGTCTGGCTGGGGCTCTGTTCCATCACCTCCTGCCCACGGATTTCTGTGGCCTCTGATGCTGCTGAGACAAGAGGCCCCTCCCTGGCCCATCCCACCTTCCCCACGAGCACGCGCCTCCTTCTCTCTGTTATTCTTTTGTTTGCTTATTTGTTCTTGAGACAGTTCTTTACCCAAGGTGGAGTACAGTGGCACAATCATAGCTTACTGCAACCTTGAACTCCTGGGTTCACGAGATACTCCTGCCTCAGTCACTCAAGTATCTAGGACTACAGGCACGTGCCACTGCACTGGACTCATGTAAAAATTTATTATTATTGGCCAGGTGTGGTGGCTCATGCCTGTATTCCCAGCACTTTGGGAAGCCAAGGTGGGTGGATTACGAGGTCAGGAGTTTGAGACCAGCCTGACTAACATGGTAAAACCCTGTCTTTACTAAAAATACAAAAATTAGCCAGGCGTGGTGGCGGCCGCCTGTAGTCCCAGCTACTCAGGAGGCTGAGGCAAGAGAATTGCTTGAACCTGGGAGGCAGAGGTTGCAGTGAGCTGAGATCGCATCATTGCACTCCAGCCTGGGTGACAGAGTTTCCATCTCAAAAAAAAAAATTACTGTTATTATTATTAATAGAGACAACATCTCACCTGTGTTGCTCAGGCTGATCTTGGACTCCTGGACTCAAGTGATCCTCCAGCCTTGGCCACCCAAAGTGCTGGGACTATAGGCATGAGCCACCGCGCCCAGCCTCTTTGTGTTAATCTTGCTCCTCCTTCTCCTTGGAGGGTGGACTCTAGGCCAGTGGCTGGTCTGTGGAGCCCCTGCAGGGTATCCCCACCCCTCTATCTCATTGGATTCTCACAGTAATTCACAGCTAGGGCTCACAGCTGGGAGTCTCCGCCCACACCAGCCTCAAGCCAGCTGTGCACTTTACCTGCTGGTAGACCTCCACAGCTGGCTTCCACAGGTGTTTCAGGCCCAGCCCCTCCATGTCAAACACCATCAGCGCCGTCTCGATCTTCCTGCCTAGCTGCTTGGGACAGAGCCCCCATACAGGTCAGACAACAGCTCCAGCCAGGAGATCCTGGCCAGAGAGACTTGGGCACCTCTCCCCGCCTTCCTGCCATCCTACCCTCTGGCAGCCCATAGCATTTTCCAGACAAATGGAAAACACCTCACCTTTATGGGTGGCTAAGGGTGGGAGAAACCCACATTCCACCAGAGCCCTGAGTGCTGAGGGCTGGGGAAGGGGCAGGGGGCACCCTTCTCTGGTCCTGGTGCCACCCAGTAGACAGATGAGGCCCACCCCACCCCAGCTGCTCACCTTCTGAGTCTGCAGCTCACACTCACGCAAAAGCAGCTCGCAGACCTTGATGCGCTTCTGGATCATATCCTGCTTGGAGGCCGACAGCAGGAGACCCTTGGGGTCAAGGGACCCGATGATGTTGAAGTACACAGGGCAGCCTTCGTAGTCGTAGCCACACAGACCTCCCGAGTCGTACAGCCGGATGACCTGGAGGTGAGGGCAAGGTCCTGACTCGCTCCAGCTCACCAGGCTGGGTCCCTATTCCATCAGGTGGCTGGATGTGGTGGGTGGGAGGTGAGGTTGGGGGTGAGGGGCCTCAAACGGCCTGGGGGATGCTGCTCGAGGCTCACCTCGGGGGGCTGCCACGAGAGGATGTTGTCCAGGTCTTGTTGCTTCCGGAACTCCATGTGCTACAGGGACATAGCAAGAGCTGTAGGGTTCTGCAGGAAACTGGGGACACCAGGCTAGGTCCCTCTGCCCACAGTCACCAAGATCCCACCAGAGCATACCCATAGACCTAGGGATGGAGACAGGAGCTTGGGTCTGAGGCAGAAAGGGATCCAGGGAGGAAGAAAGAAGAAGCAGGAGGATGGGACAGGACCAGAGTCCCTACCCTTTTGCCACCAATCCCTGGGTGCATGGAAGGCAGGGCAGTAGGGATCATAGATGCTTACCCTCCGGAGCATGTCCTCGGATTTCTGCAGGTCAAAGTCTCGAGCTGCAAGAAGATGAGCTAAGTAGAAGCACAGGGCTAGATCTAGAAAGAGCCATTCCCTAAAAATTCGTGAGTTAATAGCTAAGGTGTCCCCAGCCTTTTCCTGACACCCCAAGAATCCATTGAGGATCCAGAAATAGTTGTTTTTTGAGACAGGGTCTTGGCTCAGTTGCGCAGGCCAGAGTGCAGTGATGTGATCAAAGCTTACTGTGGCCTCTGGCCCAAGCAATCCTCCTACCCCAGCTTCCCAAGTAGCTGGGACAACAGGCCCACATCACCATGCCTGGCTAATTTTTTTTAGATTTTTTTTTTTTTTTTTTTGGTAGAGATGGGGATCTTGTTATGTTCCCAAGCTGGTCTTGAACTCCTGGCCTCAAGCAGTCCTCCTGCCTCAGCTTTCCAAAGTGCTGGGATTATAGGCGTGGGCATCTGTGCCTAACCTAGAAATGTTTTTTTTTTTCTTTTAAAATATTTTTTGCTACAATTGGCTGTGAACTCTACCACAAGTCATGTTTTTTAAAGAGTTAAGGATCTTTAATCCTCTAAAAGACTTTGGAGAGCCCTTGAGTTCAGTTTCCAGTCTTCTTAAAACTTTCTGGAGGCTGGTCTAGCCTGTATTTGATGTCCCTCAGGAAGCAGAGACCCCTTGCCACCTGCACAGTGTTAGGGGTGGTGGGGAGTGTGGGGTTTGGATTCACACAGACTGGCGCTTTAAAGTCTAGTATTGCCCTTTTATTTCCTGTGCAGCCTCGAGCAAGTCATTTACCTTCTCTGAGCCTTAGTTTTTTTTTAATCAGTTAAATGAGAACCCTATCTTTTTCAGTTCTTCAGAGAACAACATGAGATAAAATATATAAAGTGCTTGGCCCAGTACCTGGCTCACAGTAGGTTCTCAATAAACTGTAGCTATCATGATTACCTATTTTAAAGAAATAGATATACTTTCATTGAAAACACAATGCTCTGTTTTAGAAATGCTTTGACTGTTGCTTTCTGAGACCCTCGGCTCACTGAGGACTAATTAGGGGGAGTAATTCGTCCACTCGAGGAGGAATTTGTTCACTCGTGGAGCTGAAACAATATGCAGGGTCAGAGATTTTGAAATGGAAGGGATCTGAGACGCCCTCCAGGCCTCCTCTGCTCTGATCATGAACCAGCTCCGGAAATCACTCCTGACCAGGCATGGTGTCTCACAGCTGTAATTCCAGCACTTTGGGATACCGAGGCAGGCAGATCATTTGAGGTCGGGAGTTCGAGACCAGCCTGGGCAACATAGTGAAACCCTGTCTCTACTAAAAATACAAAACTTTGCTGGGCATGGTGGTGCACACCTATAGTCCAGCTACTCGGGAGGTTTAGACATGAGAATCGCTTGAACCTGGGAGGAGGAGGCTGCAGTGAGACAAGATCACACCACTGTACTCCAGCCTAGGCGACAGGGTAAGACCATGTCTCCAAAAAAAAAAAACTCCCAATGCAACAGCTCAGCCTTGATTATCTCCCATGATGGGGAGTTCACTACCACAGAAGACATTATCATTCCATTCCTCAGCAGCTTTGACTGAACCCAAATCTGCCCTGTGGTGATTCCAACCCTGTCCTCAGAGGTCAAACAAATGTATGTAATCCCTCGTCAGTGTGGCCATTCTGTAAATATTTGAAGACAAGCCACCCAGTTCACCTGACCAATCTTTGCTCTAAGCTGTGTATTTGTTAAAATCATCTTCCGTGTCAATTCTGTCCAAGATAACGTTCTGTGATGGTGGAAATGTCCTATACCTGAGCTGCTCATCATGGTAGCCGCTAGCTGCCTGAGGCTACAGAGCAACTGAAACGTGGCAAATGTGACTTAGGACCTGGAGTTTTAATTTAAGTTAATTGTAATAGTTACATGTGGATAGAGGGTATCAAACTGAACAGGGCAGTTCTACATACTTCAGAGATTTTAAGATTTTTTCTGTATAGGTCTTGTGTCTTCTAGAATAAACTCCTGGGTTATTTTATGGGCTTTGTTGCTGTTTTGAACGGTATCTGACTTTTCGTTATCTTTTTTTTTTTTTTTTTGAGACAGAGTCTTGCTCGGATTCTAGTCAGAGCAAGGTGATTTCAGAGCCTATGTTCTTTACTTTACAGCTCCATTCCCCAAAGCCTCTACTCCTCTCCTGAGACCCTCCTTCCTTCCCTCCCTCTCTGCCTCCCCTGACCCCTGCCAGCCTCACCTCGCAGCCAGCGCAGGAGGAAGTAGTCATCAGCATTGGGCACTCTGGGCAGCAGGTCCTGGAGGTTCTCCCGGAACTGAGTGGGGGAGGAAATATGATCAGTGGGGTTCTCTTGACCTCAGGAACCACCAACCCCACCCCAGCCCTTCCACCTCATCTGCCAGTCAGCCCCACCTGGAGACCCTGCAGGGCGCTGCCCCAAACGACTTTGCCATCTGAAAAGAGGGCACCCTCCAGCCCAACATAGGAAAAACTATTGGGTCCTTCCCAAAATGTGGGAGCACCTTACATGCAGGGCTCCCATTCTGCATGTCTAAAGTGGGGCCCTGGCATCCTTATTTAAAATTTTTATTTTATTATTATTATTTTTGACATAGGGTCTCACTCTGTTGCCCAAGCTGGAGTGTACTTGCGTGATCTTGGCTCACTGCAACCTCCGCCTCCTGGGCTCAATAGATCCTCCCAACTCAGCCTCCCAAGTAGCTGGGACCACAGGCACACTCCACAACACCCAGCTAATTTTTATATTTGTTGTAGAGATGGAGTCTTGCCATATTGCCCAGGTTGGTCTCGAACTCCTTGGCTTGAACAATCCACCCGCCTCAGCTGCCCAAAGTGCTGGGATCACAGGCGTGAGCCACTGTGCCCAGCTGACAGCCTTATTTTTCACAAGGATCCCTGGGTGATTCTGATGCAGGCCAGCTAGATGGTTTTAGGAATGTTGTCCCTGATACTGCAACTTAAGGGTTGAGATTTAGAGGCAAGTTACCAAACCTCTCTGAGCCTCCGTTTCCTTATCTGTGAAATGGGGATAATAATGAACTTGTGCCAATCAAAGGAGTTTGTGCACGTAAAGCATTTAGCAGACTTGGCTCCAAGCAGGTGTCGGATAAATGTGAGCGCTCAGCCAGCGTGGACTGCCTGACGCCCTGGACAGTGGAACTTTGTGGAAAAAAAAACAGAAGCGGAGGTCAAAAGACAGGGGCTGAAAGAGAAGCCAGGAATGCCTTATCAGGACTGTGGGGGAGGAAGCGTGCCTTTTTCTACTGGCAGAGTAGAAGGATGTCATTAGCAGTTTGCGTCGGAGGCTGAGGCTTGGGTCTGAGAAAGAGAGGAGACCTCACTTCCCTGGGGACTAACAGGCTAAAGCCAAGGGCTGGGTTTGAAGGTGAATCTGTGAATCCAAATTTGGGATTAGAAACGTGAGGCTGGGCACGGCAGCTCCTGTCTGTAATCCAGCACTTTGGGAGGCTGAGGCAGAAGGGTTGCTTGAGCCCAGGAATTCAAGACCAGCCTGGGCAGCATAGTGAGACCCTTTCTCTACAAAAATACAAAAGTAGCCAGACATAGTGGCACACACACGTAGTCCCAGCTATTCAGGAAGCTAAGGTGGGAGGATCAGTTGAGCCTGGGAGGCAGCGGTTACAGGGAGCAGTCATTGCATCACTCCAGTCTGGGCAACAGAGACTCTGTCTCAAAAAAAAAAAAGAGAGAGAGAGAGAAAAAAAAAAAAAAAAGAAAAGAAAAATCAGTTTAAACAACTCCAGTGAGCAATAGCACCTGCTTTAATAATCTGAACAGGCCCCTGGCATGGAGGTTCCTGCACCAACAGCTGCAGCCTCTGGGTTCAGGAGGAAGTTTTACCTGGGGGTTGGACAAGAGTGGTGACCCCTGAGAAGCAATAACTCTGCACCCCTCAGACCCGCCAGGTGAGTGGGTTTCCTCCTTTGAACACATCCCTGCTTTGCAGATGAAACTTAGGCTCAGGGGGTGGAGAATCTTCCCCAGGGACACAGAAAGGAAGCGTCAAGATCAGGAAGATCCACCCTTGGAGGCCATGCCCCCCATGGAATGGGTACAAGTGCAAGAGAAGGCCACTAAGCAGGTGCTGGGAAGGGTGAGGAGTGACTGGGAGAAAACTCATCTTATTATGATGCCACTGGCAGGAAAGCAGTGCACCAGAGGGGCTGAAACTGAACTTGGGAAGGAGCTAGAAGAAAATGCTCCTAGACTTGGTTGCCCAGACCTCTGGGACCATGGGCGACCTCTTTCCCTTCTTCCTACTTTTCTCTTTTCCCCAAATTTAAAAAATAACAAGCATCCACTACTTTTTTTTTTTTTTTTTTTTTTAGACGAAGTCTTGCTCTATTGCCAGGCTGGAGTACAGGTCATTGCGACCTCTACCTTGAGGGTTCAAGCAATTCTCTTGCCGCAGCCTCCCGAGTAGCTGGGACTACAGGCATAGGCTGTCATCCTTGGCTAATTTTTGTATTTTTTTTAAGTAAACACAAGTTTCATCATGTTGGCCAGGCTGGTCTCGAACTCATGACCTCATGTGATCCACCCGCCTCAGCCTCCCAAAGGGCTAGGATTACAGGTGTGAGCCACCTTGCCCAGCCGCATTCATACTTTTAAATAATGGAAGAAATAAGAATTATAAGAATAATTTCTTCATATCATTTAAAGCTCTCTGGCCCACGGGCATCTACGTCATAGTTCACCTCCAAAGGCCAGAAAACCTCCAAAAATAGCTCCCACTAGGAGCACAGTGCCTGGGGCTTCCCAGGGGCCACCACCAGTGGGGAGACCCCCACCTTCCTCACCTGAGGGCCCCTCCTTCACTGGGGAACCCATTATTTCCCCTGAGGGCCCTCTTTCCCCTGGGGACCAGTCTCCTCCCAGGGTTCTCTCTCCTTCCTGGAGGGCCTTTCCACAGGGCAGAAGCGTTGAAGCACATCATTCCCCCCATAACTCTTAAGCTGCCTTTCATAGTGCCGAAGTGCGAGCCCCCATCCCCCCGGCCGGCTGTGACACCTCCTCTCCCCCAAACTCAAAGTCAGTTTCAAATCCTTGGCTATCAAAAACCACATTGTTGCTGTGATATCTAATTCCTGGACACTCTCTCCTTTCTCCACGGCTGTGACACTCCAGGCACAGCCTATAGGACTATCTCAAGGTCACCTCCCCAAAAAGACCCCTCCATTTCTCTCTCTCTCTCTCTTTTTTTTTTTGAGACAGAGTCCCTATCACCCAGGCTGGAGTGGAATGGCGTGATCTCAGCTCATTGCAACCTCTGCCTCCCAGGTTCAAGCGATTCTCCTGCCTCAGCCTCCCGAGTAGCTGGGACTACAGGCGCCTGCCACCACGCCCAGCCATTTTTTGTATTTTTTTAATAGAGACAGGGAACGCCATGTTGCCCAGGCTGGTCTCGAACTCCTGACCTCAGGTGATCCACCTGCCTCAGCCTCCCAAAGTGTGGGATTACAGGCGTGAGTACCTGGCCGCCTCCATCTCTTTTAAATAATTATAATAAAGGCCAGGCACAGAGGCTCACGCCTGTAATCCCAGCACTTTGAGAGGCCGAGGCAGGCAGATCAGGAGGTCAGGATATCAAGACCATCCTGGCCAACGTGGTGAAATCCCGTCTCTACTAAAATACAAAAAATTAGCCGGGCGTGGTGGTGTGCGCCTGTAGTCCCAGCTACTTGGGAGGCTGAGGCAGGGGAATCACATGAACCTGGGAGGCAGAGGTTGCAGTGAGCTGAGATCGCACAGCCTGGTGACAGAGTGAGACTCCGTCAAAAAATAAATACATAAATAAATAAAAATTAAAGATAGGGAAGCTTGGGCCCTAAGGACAAATCACAAAGAGAAACCAAACAAACAAATGTTGCAATCTGGGCATGAAATCTAGGAGGAGTCTGTCTACCCAAGGCTGCCCCAGCAGCAGGATGGCAGCACCACCCCCTCCCCCACAACCGGGGAACAAGGGCCAGGGCCGGTGGTGGGGAGCAGGCAAGGTCAGAAGACTGGATTCGGCCCCAAGTCCCTCAGAGATGGACTCTTGTCCCGCGCGCTGCACCTAGCGGCCTCAGCAATCTCGCGCGGATGGAAAGGCAGAACAGAGGAGCTCTCTCCGGGCTCGTTGTTCCCGTCCGTACAATGGGGGCTCCAGCCGGGTTCCGAAGCACCAGGCTGCTCGGGGCCCCTCCCCAATCCTCCCAGCCCGCTACGCGCCTCACCCTGGACAGCGCCTCCTGCTGCTGGGGGCTCAGGTCCCCGACTCGGCCGCTCATGGTGCCCGCGGGTGCAGAAGGGCGCAGGGCGCAGGTCCTCCGGGCCGCCGCCTGGCCCCGTGGCCGCCGCCGCCTGGTTGTGCCTGCAATGCCAGATGTTGGTCCCGCCCCGACGGGAGAGAGAGGCGCTGGGCCTGCCCCGCCCCGCCCCGTTCTCTCCTCCCCTCGAGGATTTTTGCTGCGGTCACCAAGGGCACCCTATCTGGGACAGGGAGGTGGTGACCCGCCCAGAGAGGGGTCTGGAGCACAACCTCGAGTCTGGGGCAGCTGGAGGCACCCCACTTCCAAGTCTCCTCACTGCAGGGGCTTCTACCTGTTCGCAGGTGGAGGGAAAGGAAACTTGCCCCTTCCCAGCAAAACAGAAGAAATAACAAACAAACAAACAAAACAACTTTTCTTATTTTTAATAAAATGGAGATGGGGTTTTGCTATGCTGGTCTGGAACTGGTTTTGCTACCAGGCTGGTCTGGAACTCCTGGCCTCAAGCAATCCTCCCCCCTCTGCCTGCCAAAGCCTGGGATTAGGGATGTCAACCACCACACCAGGCCAAGTGCTCAACCCTCTAGGATCCCCAGGGCTTTTGTCTAAGGACCCCTGAGCTCCTTCCACTGGCCTTGAGCACAGCCTGGGACCTGTCTGCTCACTGACGGATAGGACAGCTTTATGTGCAACATGGTGCCTGCCCTCAAGACGGTTGGAAGGATAAGAGGACACACCCTGGGTCAGCAGAATGCCTGCTGTTGACTACTTAGTAAGTGCTGGCTGTTAGGAATCTATTTCATAATTTTGTTATTAATGAGGCTGTCACCAGAGCTGGGAGCTGTAAGGGTGGAGATCCTGAGATGACCCAGGTGTGGAGCTCCTGGGTGAGAGCCACAGTCTGAAGGCAGAGGAATGCAAGGTGGCAGCCGAGGACTGATGGAAGCCCTGGGAGGAATGACAGAGGGGATGGAGAGCCAAGAGGACACTCTGGCTGACACAAAAGAGCCAGGTGGAGATCACTAGGAAAAGCGAGAAAAAAAGTTCAGCTGGGTTCAGTGGCTCATGCCTGTAATCCTGGCACCTGGCACTTTGGGAGGCCAAGGAAGGTGGATCATATGAGGTCAGGAGTTTGAGACCATCCTGGCCAACATGGTGAAACCCTGCCTCTGCTAAAAATACAAAAATTAGCTGGGCATGGTGGTCTGTGCCTGTAGTTCCAGCTACTCGGGAGGCTGAGGCAGGAGAATCGCTTGAACCTGGGAGGTTGAGGCTGCAATGAGCCAAGACCATGCCACTGCACTCCAGTCTGGACAACAGAGCCAGATTCTGTCTCAAAAGAAGAAAACAGAAGTTGGCTGTGTATGAATTTTCAAGAGATGGGTAGAGGGGACATGACCCTGACCTCATGGGCTCAAGTGATCCTCCCACCTCAGCCTCTGGAGTAGCTAGGACTACAGTCTCACCCCACCACACCTGGCTAACTTTTTATTTATTTTTTATTTTTTTATTTTATTATTTATTTATTTATTTATTTATTTATTTTTTGAGACGGAGTTTCACTCATGTTACCCAGGCTGGAGTGTAATGGCGCGATCTCGGCTCACCGCAACCTCTGCCTCCTGGGTTCAGGCAATTCTCCTGCCTCAGCCTCCTGAGTAGCTGGGATTACAGGCACGCACCACCATGCCCAGCTAATGTTTTGTATTTTTAGTAGAGACGGGGTTTCACCATGTTGACCAGGATGGTCTCGATCTCTTGACCTCGTGATCCACCCGCCTCGGCCTCCCAAAGTGCTGGGATTACAGGCTTGAGCCACCGCACCTGGCCTTTTTTTTTTTTTTTTTTTTTAATAGACGTGGTGTTTCACCATGTTAGCCAGGCTGGTCCCAAACTCCTGAGCTCAAGCCATTCCATCCGCCTCAGCCTCCCAAATCGCTGGGATTGCAGGCGTGTGCCACTGCTCCTAGCCTCATTAATTAATTTTATATAAGTTACATATTGAAATGATATTTTGGAATATATTGGGATAATATGTTGTTAAAAGTACTTTCACCTGTTTGTTTTGACCTTTTAATAATTTTCATTATTTTATTTTTTATTTTACTTTTGAGATGGAGTTTCACTCTTGTTGCCAGGCTGGAGCACAATGGTGTGATCTCAGCTCACCACAACCTCCTCCTCCCAGGTTCAAGTGATTCTCCTGCCTCAGCCTCCTGAGTAGCTGGGACTACAGACATGCGCCACCCCGCCTGGCTAGTTTTGCATTTTTAATAGAGACAGGGTTTCTCCATGTTGTTCAGGCTGGTCTTGAACTCCTGACCTCAGGTGATCCGCCCGTCTCCACCTCCCAAAGGGCTGGGATTACAGGCATAAGCCACTGTGCCCGGCCTGGAAACAATTTTAAAGTAAGCTATGGTGCTTAATTAATGTGGTTGATAAAGGGTTTATAACAACATGGAAACAATAACTACCAAACAGTTTGGGAAAGATGGGCCCACACAAAGTATTCTTTATGCTTCTGGAACATAAAGCAAAAACTACTCAGTAAAAGAAAAACTGGATAAGAAAAGAAAATTGGGGCTGGGCCCGGTGGCTCATGCTTGTAAACCCAACACTTGGGAGGCTGAGGTGGGTGGATCACTTGAGCCCAGGAGTTCAAAACCAGCCTGGGCAACAAAGTGAGACCCCATCTCTGCAAAAAATCAGAAAATTAGCTAGGTGTGGTGGCACATACCTGTGGTCCCAGCTACACCAGAGGCTGAGGCAGGAGGTTTGCCTGAGTCTGGGAGATTGAGGCTAAAGCGAGCCACTGCACTCCAGCTTTGGCAACAGAGAGAGACCTTGTCTCTAAAAAAAAATCTGTTTTAAATAAATTTGCTCCAACTTTTCCCCGTTTCTGAGGAGTGGAAAAAGTCATAGTTTGAAATACCAGAGGTAACAAATTACCTCCCAAGAGAGATTTTTCTTTAACTAGCACCTACAGGTACTTTCTACTTACCCGGTTATCTCTAAGGGTTTGTAAATATTATTATAGCTCAGGGCTGACCAGTGGAAAAATAATACAAGCTACACAGACAACTTCAAATCCTCTAGAGCTGCATAAAAATTCATTGTAAGCAGGCAGTGGTGACTTGCACTTGTAATCTCAGTTGCTTGGGAGGATCTGAGGTGGGAGGATCACTTGAGGCCAGGAGTTCAAGACCAGCCTAGACAACAAAGCAAGACCTTGTCTCTAAAAAAATTTTTTTAAAAATTAGCTAGAAAAAATTTACCAGATGTGGTGACTCGCACCTGTGGTCCCAGCTACCTGGGAGGCTGAGGTGGGAGGATTGCTTGAGCCCAAGAGTTTAAGGCTGCAGTGAGCTACGATCACATCACTGCACTCCAGCCTCAGAAACAGAGCGAGAATCCATCTCAAAACAAAAAATTTATTTTAATAATATATCATGCCTGGCATAGTGGCTCACGATGCTAATCCCAGCACTTTGGGAGGCCAAGGCAGGGGGGATCACCTGAAGTCAGGAGTTCAAGACCAGCCTGGCCAACAAGGTGAAACCCAGTCTCTACAAAAATACAAAAGTTAGCTGGGCATGATGGTGGGTGCCTGTAGTCTCACCTTCTTGGGAGACTGAGGCAGGAGAATTGCATGAACCCAGGATGCAGAGGTTCCAGTGAGCTGAGATCATGCCATTGCATTCCAGCCTGGGGAACAGAGAGAGACTCCGTCTCAAAAACAACAACAAAAAATATATCCAAAATATTACCATGTTAACAATATGTTAATCAATATGTTAATTATCTCATTAATAATTAATAGTATGTTGCATTCTTTTCATGTACTAAGTCTGAAATCCTATGTGTATTTAATACAGCACGTTTCAGTTGTAACTAGCCACATTTTGAGTGAGTGTTCAATAGGCCACATATGTCCCCCACTAAATTCGTGTCGAAGTCCTATTCCCTGGTACCTTAGAATGTGACCTTACTTGGAAACACGTCATTGCAGATGTAATTGTGATCATATGGGAATAGCATGGGCCCCTAGCCCAGTATGTCCTTATAAACGGTGGCATTTGGATGCAGATGGGGAGACACGCACATAGCAAGAACGTCACATGAAGACGAAAACCGAGATTGTGGAGTGATGCATCTATAATACATGTCAGGGGCACAAACGATTGCTGGCCAACCATCAGAAGCTAGGGGAGAGATGTGGAACAGAACCTTCCCCACAGTCCTCAGCAGGTACCAACCTTGCTGACACCTTGATCTTGGACTTCCAGCTTCCAGAATTCTGAGAATAAAATTCTGTTGTTCAAGCCACTCAGCATGGTCCCTGTGCTACAGCAGTCCTAGTGCACTCATAGGATGAGTGGTTGCCATAGAGGACCGTGCGGCATTAGTGCATTTAATCCTCCTGCCTGTGCTGTGCAGTCAGTACTTTACCCCGCTTTACGGGCTGGGAAACTGAAGCTCGAAGAGCCTCCTGAGGTCTCATATCCAGCAAGCAGCAAAGCCAGGACTGGAGCCCTAGTGCTCATCACTATGCCGTTGTCCTTCTGCCGGCTGAGCTCCCCTGATTGTAGGTCACTCTCATGTCCAACACAGGGCAGACATCCTCCCCTGAGCCTGCAGCACACAGATGCTTCCTTCAAACTTCAGCTGTTCCGGGCATGGGGAACTTTACTTCTAACCATCTGGGTGCCAGTGGCTTGAGGGGTGCCCTTCTCCTCTGGCCTTCCGGAATGTGGCTCACGCCCACAGTCCCTCCTGACCCATGAGCTGTTTGAGCTTTTAACCAGGAGGTCCGGGGAGACCCATGAGCTGAGAGGCTCGACTATGATGACGGCGCTGTCATGGCATGCAACCTGCATCCCACATCTTAATGCCCACACACGGTGATGCCTCTCTCCCACCTTCCAGGTGTTTCTAAAGTTTCTGGCATTGTTCATCAGCCGCAGGCCCCCTGCCGGCAGCCCTCGTTAAAGCTGGTGACCTGCCAACTGGAGAGAACTCTGTAGGGTGAATGGCATGCATTGCAGGAAGTGAGATGGGGCTTTGCTCCTGCATCAAAGCTGCATCAGCCTCTCCCTGAGGACGTCTTGACCA